ATGGGTATTTTGCTGATGCAGCTCAAATCATTGCAGGAAAATGGTTAAAGGTGCTCCTTGAAATCGGCGCTGTTTTATCGATCATCGGACTGTACGAAGCACAGTTGAGCAGCTGTGTTTACCAGCTTCTAGGAATGGCTGATCTAGGATTCTTGCCATCATGTTTCTCTATAAGATCCAAGTGGTTCAACACGCCCTGGGTGGGAATTCTGGTGTCGACGTCATTCGCCGTCGCGGTTTCGTACATGGACTTTTCGGACTTGATTTCGTCGGCAAATTTCTTGTATAGTTTAGGTATGTTGCTCGAATTCGCATCATTCCTTTGGCTGAGGATAAAATCGCCGACACTCAAAAGGCCATTCAGAGTGCCGATGAAGTTGCCTGGTCTGATCGTGATGTGCTTGATTCCTTCGGGGTTTCTGGTGTATATCATGTTGGTGGCTACCGGAAATGTGCTCTTGGTGGGTTCCATAGTCACGGTTCTTACAATCCTTTGGTACTCCGCCATGAGTTTCTGCAAATCCAAGAAGCCGGCCATTGTGGAGGATGAAGATTATTTGGAATAGGATGAACTTTATTCCTATTCTCATCTGAAAATTAGTTGGAAAAATTATTATCGTGTTGGAGTATTTGTATTCTTATATCATTTAATTCGTTCTATTGACAACGTTAAAATTTAAAATTATGATTTTATTTAATAGATAGAACGTTTCATCTCGTTAAATTAACCTATCGTTATTGATCTAAACTATGTTTAAAGGGAAGGATGGGTGATGAACAAAAAGCAACTGACCAAATGTGGACCAAATTGTAGATATTTGAGATATTTTGGGGTCCAAAAGAAAGCAAATGTGTGACGCATCAAAAATAATGAACAATGAAGTCCATAACGGATCCGTTTGCTTATTCCGTTGGACAACAATGACCACCCACGCTCGAATCAATCTAGCACGACTCAGGAGCTGGCATATCGAGTACCGTAACAGACACAATATTTTATATCAAAGATGAATTTTTTAAATTTTAAGAAAAGATAAATTTTTAAAAAATAAAAATATATTATTAATAGAAAATATGTAAAAAAAACCTAAAATATATAATAATTTAACTTTTCAGATGGTGATTACTCGATCCATAGGGATGGGCACCAGGGCGGATGCACTAAACCCCTAGGGGTCAAGTGTATCCCATTATTTAAGGAAAAAAAATAAAATTTAGTATAATATATTAAAGAAAACTAGAAAAAATAAAAATTTTTGCACCGCCATTATTTTTAAGAAAATAAAATTAAAATTTTGGATCCCATTTATAATTTTCTAGATCTGCCACTGATGGGCACGAGTCGGGTTTCGATCAACCCGACCTGAAAATTTTACATCCCCCACTCGATCCGAATCCGACTCGACTTTTTGAGATAAAATCCGAACCCGCCCAACCCGATCTGAGATAATATATTTATTAAAAAATATTATTTTTTATTCAATAAAAATAGGAATTTATTTGAAAAATAATATATAGAGGGGTATTATTGTAATTATTCTTAAATATATAAGGTAAAATTATTTTTTCCCAGGTCGGGTCGGGTCGAAACCCGTCGAGTTCGGGTCTTATGTCCATCCCTATCCACCCGCCTAGTAAGGTGACTACAAAGTAATATTTATTCTAAATACTCTCAACCATTTGACAATGATGCTCAATCACACATAATATAGTTACTGATACTCAAACTCGAGACATCTAAAAATAATAAACATTATTTTAACAACTAAAATAATTTGATTAGGGAAGAAATTAAGATTCTTAAAAAAGAAAAAAAGTGTCAATAGTAGATGGGTTCCTACTTGGTAGGGTGCCACTTGCAAGTAGTTATGGACTGACCTATAAAAGTAGTTGGGCGTTGTTAATAAATTAGTTAGGCTAATAATGAATCATAAATATGATGTATTGGGTCATTGCCTATTCATCCAAATGGATTTTCACAGTTAATAAAGATTAGTTTCTTATATTATGTGTATGTAGTTTAACAGAACACCTTAAACATTATTATTTCTATTGATTTTATTATTATTGAATATTTTATTAATTTTATTAACAAAACTGATAAAGCGTTATCGGTTTTGTTATTTTTCTATTGGTTTTGTTATTATTGGGTACTTTACCAGAAATATTAAAAAACATTGATGTTTTAGGTAGAAATAATAATATTTTAGGTAATTTTTTACCGAATAAAATCGATAACATCTTTTTTAGTTATATATTAAAGATGCCGCACTGTAAAAATTTTCAATCGCTCCAAGAATTCTAGCCGCCTCTTTTACAGCTTCTCATTTTCGTTCACAGCCGATCACCACTTCCGATCATCATCCGGCTGTCATGCTGCTTTTTTCACTGGTTGGCTGTATTTCTAATATAACAGTTCCGTTTTTGCATACTGAGAGATGAATAACTGGGCTTGTAGCTATAACATATTATAAAAGTTGCATCATAACGTTTTTCAAGATTATCGCGACACTATCGTGGGATCAAGTCTCACGAAGGGCAATTCATAATTGTCGGAGGTCTCCCACGGAGGTCTTCCACGGAAGTTGGTCTCAACCTAACGTTGGAGGCAGCCTACTACTCTACCTCTCCTTACCCCATTACATATGAGAATATGGTCAACTAATTTTTTTTATAACATCCACAATCGTAATACCATAACCACAATCGAACTGATTAGTATTATTTGTTACCCTTGCTAAAATAGGTACTAAACGACCGTCGATGTTTACAACTTAAGGGTGTATTTGATACTTGAAAAATATTTTCTCATTTTCATGTGTTTGATGGTTGGAGAATATTTTTTCGAAAAATATTTTTCGGTGTTTAATAACTGTATTTGATTTTATGAAAAATATTTTTCAATGTTTAGTAGTTGTAATTGATTTTCTAATGTAATTTATTTTCCTAGTTCATTCGTATTTTCCTAGTTCCTGACTTTTCACTTCTAAATATAAACACTCGAAAACTATATTATATTATATTATTTAATATTAATTTTAACATTATAATATAATTTTAATATTATAATAATTTACGTAAATATCTAATATTAATATAATATAATTTTAATAATATTTATATTTCTAATATTATATGAATATGTAAATATCCCTTGGTGTTAGATGAGGAAGTTCTACTGTACGACACCCTTAATATACAGTTAAGGAAAGACGTTATCGGTTTTGATATTTTTAAATAACAAAACCGGTAAAAAAAATTATCGAAAACATTATTATTTCTACCTAAAATATTAATATTTTTTAACAAATCTGGTAAAGTGTCCAATAATAATAAAACCAGTAGAAAAAATAACAAAACCGATAACGCTTTACCGGATATGTTAACAAAACCGGTAAAACGCCCAATAATAACAAAACCGATAGAAATAATAATGTTTTCGGTAATTTTTACCGATTTTATTTTTTAAAAAATAACAAAATCGGTAGTGTCTTTTCTTAATCGTATATTAATATACGGATAAGGAAATGCGCTACCAGTTTTGTTATTTTTTAAATAATAAAACCGGTAAAAAATTACCTAAAACATTATTATTTCTACCTAAAATATTAATGGTAAAGTGTCCAATAATAATAAAGCTGATAAAAAAAATAACAAAACCGATAAAAAAATAACAAAACCAATAGTGTTTTACAAGATATATTTTCGATAATTTTTACCGATTTTATTATTTAAAAAATTATAAAATCAATAACGTATTTTATTAGCAATATATTAAAGTATCTCACATGAGATTTCCTTGTTAGCCGCAGACTAATTCCACACAAGTAACGTGTTTAGTTGACTTGTATGGTTTAGGGAATCGAATCTTTCATCTATTGACTTATATGATTTTGGTTGAATTTTATACTATTATATCATAAAAATATTAATAAACTTAATAAAAATAAGATACAAATATCCCTTAAATAAAATTCACAGTTCAAATTTCAATGTTGTAAATGATATAAATTAAATCAAGATATCAATAAATTTATAAATTGGCTTAATTAGAAAATAAGTGCTAAAAATATATATATTTTTCCTAAATAGGTGACCAAGCCTTTTTGCTTTTTTAATTCATCCAGGTATCTAATATTATAAATGTTACTTAGGTGTCAGTGCCGTAACGACTATTAAATTATGTCATTTAAGGAGATGTGTCACGTTCTGGTAATTTTAAATTTTTTTTTTAAAATTAAAAAAAATTAAAATTATATTTAAAAAAATCCCTAAAAAATAAAAAAAAACTCTAACACTTTTAAAACCCTAATTTCAACCCAAGTCCATATCGATCAACGCCCTTCTCCACTGTCGAGCCTCCACTAGATCTTACCTCCATCCAGAAACCAATAACCTTATGAAAAGCCACAAAAATAAGAGCTAATGGACAAACAATCAACGCGACCTCACACAATCTTGATGACCGATCGACGGTAATAATGACAACACTTGACTAAGGAGATGATAAGGACGACGACGGTGATGATATCCGAGGTTGGAAAGGACGATGTTAGTGGGTTAGAGTTAGGGATTCGAGATTTTTTTGTGATTTAAGAGAAATTAGAATTTTTAAATAAATATAATAATTTTTTAAAAAATAAAATTTTTAAAATTATCAGAACGTAAGATATATCATTTAATATAATTTTTGAACGATCATTACGATCGAGATACTTAAAGTGACAACATTTATAATATTAGGAACCTGAATAAATCGAGAAAAAAATTTAAACACCATTTAAAAAAATATATATACTTTCAACTTTTATTTTCTAATTAGTCCTTATAATTTTCAGGCCTATGTCCCCACACTAAAGCTAGTTGCTTTTGCATTTATTGTACATAATGTACAGTGTAAGGGGAATTTGCATTGCATTTGCATTTGCATTTGTGCTACATATCTGAAGCAAAAAGCTTTTGCATTTGCTGCTCTGTGCGAAGTTACATGCGTAAATTTCTAAGGTCATCAAAGCTACTACTGATACATCAGTATGTTTTCCTCTAAATCTTCTGCTTCTTCTTCCATGGTGAAACCAGCGACGTACGATGTTTTTCTCAGCTTCAGAGGCGAGGATACTCGCCACGGTTTCGTCAGTCATCTCCGCAAGGAACTGTGCCGAAAGAAGATCGAAACTTTCATAGACGACGAGAAGCTTCCAAGAGGAGATGAAATTTCGGAGGTGCTGCTGCTTTCCATTGAAGAATCGAGGGGTTCACTGGTTGTTTTCTCCAGGGACTACGCTTCTTCCAAGTGGTGCTTGGCCGAGCTGGCCAAGATCATGCACTGCAAGAAACGGAACCCGCAGCGTTACTTTGTGGTTCCCGTTTTCTACGGCGTAGACCCCTCGGATGTACGGAAACAAACCGGGAGTTTTTCAGATGCATTTGCTAAGCATGAAGACGATCTGAAGCATGATGTTATCAAGCTTAAAACCTGGAGAACTGGTCTGACGGATGCTGCCAATTTATCCGGCTGGGATTCACAGGTCACCCGGTCAGTATCTGAATTAATAAACACTAGTATATGATTATCATCGGTTTACTAAAATAAATAAAGAAGTATATGTTGTCACTTGTTCTCGTATGTAATGTGATAAGGAGAGGTAAGATAGTAGGCTGACTCCAACATCAGGTTGAGAGCAACTTTCGTAGAAAATCTTCGAATTATGAAATGTCCTCCGTATGACTCGATTCCACATCTCACGACCTCAAAATTAAGAACTTTGTGTTCTACTAACTGAGTTGATAAAGAACTGACTCTTTTTTTCATATATAATGGGGGTAAGGGGAGGTATAATAGTAGTAGTCTGTCCCAATGTCAGGTTGAGAACAACTTCCGTTGGAGATCTCCAAATTATGAAATACCTTCCGTCCCACGGAGGATATTTTATAATTTGGAGGTCTTCTACGAAAGTTGCTCTCAACTTGATGTTGGGGACAGTTTACTATCTTACTTTCCCTTATTCAATTACATATGAGAATAAAGGACAATCAAATATATATATATATATATATATATATATCGCAGTCACCGCATGTTATTAAAAAAGTGATGACCAATATTTTAGGGTAAATGTGTAGAAATAGTCTCTTAACTATAGAGTGATGTTTTGTTGAGTCTTTCGACTATTAAAAAGTTATAAAACGGTCTCAAATTATAGGACGATGTTTTGTTGAGTCTTCAATTATTAAAATTTATAAAATGATTCCGACTATATATTTGTTTCAAATGTATCATTTTTGGTTGAAAATTGGAAATCGTTTGAGTTGGATGTTAACCTGAATTTGATATGATAATATTTATTCTCATAACCATTTGAATTGTGTTTTGTTGATCGAGTCTCCGTTTACATTATACCGTCAAATCAATGCTTAAAACATTATATCGTCGAGCTAATGCTTGAAAGCAATGTTGGTGCCAATAAACATCATTAAAATATGATTTTATCATATCTCAGTCATTAGATTAACGTTCAGTTCATACGACCGTCATATTTTTAACAAAAAAAATGACGAGTTTAGAGCATAAGAATAATCAAATGATCATTTTATAACTTTTAACAGTAGAATGATTTAACAAAATAATTTTCTATAGCCGGAGAATTATTTTTATAATTTTTAATAATCAAACACAGCCCTGGAACATAGAACATTTATATAATTTACCCTATATTTTTATTGTTGTTTCCTTTTTATTTACCATGTAATCTGTTTCTTCCTTTGGTATATAGGCCTGAGTCAACACTGGTAGATGAAATTGTCGAAGACATCTTGAAGAAACTGAGCCGTGGAACCTCAAGTGCCTCTTTGGAGGGCTTAGTTGGAATTGAGAGGAGGATGGAGCAAGTTATGTCATTATTGCAAACAGAAAAACCAGATCTCCGAAAGCTAGGCATCTGGGGCATGGGTGGTATAGGTAAAACTACCCTTGCCGATGCGATATTTAACCATGTTTCGAATGGTTTCGAAAGTTCCTTCTTTCTTCGAAACGTTAGGGAATCGGAAGAACGTGGAACGTTAGTCGAATTACGTGAGAAATTTCTTTCAGCCATATTGGAAGATGGGAACTTGAATATCTCAGCTCCCACAATCGGGTCGGGCTTTGTCAAGGACATGCTCTCCAGGAAGATGGTTCTGGTAGTTTGTGACGATGTGTCGAATTCGAGCCAGCTCGAGTTTTTGTTCAGAGAGATTAATCAGCTCGGCCCCGGAAGTCGAGTCATCGTTACGACTAGAGATAAACAAGTGCTGATCCAGAATGACATTGATCTCATTTATGAAGTGAAGGAATTAGACGGAAATGAATCTATTGAACTCTTCTGTCAATGTGCCTTCAAAAGCAAGCACCCCAAGGAACATCAGTTGGAGCTATCCAAGATGGTTTTGAGTTTTGCTAATGGGAACCCCTTGGCTATAAAAGTGATGGGGTCCTCACTTTATGGCAGGAGCCAAAGCTACCAGGAAAGTGCGGTGAAGAAGCTAAAGCAGGTTCCTAATCCAACCATTCATAAACTGTTGAGAAGCAGTTTTGATGGACTGGATTGGGAAGAGAGAGACATTTTTCTCGACATTGCTTGTTTCTACAAAGGCGAAGATCTAGACTTCGTAATGAGGATTCTCGATGCTTCTTATGTCTCTGCACTTTCGGGAATCGATAACCTCATCGATAAATCGCTTATCTCTGTTTCGGAAAATACGATAACAATGCATGATTTATTGCAACAGATGGGTTGGGATATTGTTCGCAATGAATCACCTTCAGAGCCTGCAAGACGCAGTAGGCTGTGGATTCCTAATGACATCCGTAATGTTCTAATAGGAAGCACTGTAAGGGCAGCCTTGTTAATTTCTTTCACTTATGTTTGACACATATTCTAATACATACTCCGATACTCGTATTAGATACATACTCGTATCTGACACATATGCTCTCGGTTTTAGGGGACAGAAACACTTAAAGGGATGCTACTTGACATTTCCAGGATTTCGGAGCTGGAACTAAAACCAGATGCCTTTGTGAAGATGCCAAATCTTAAACTCCTCAAGTTCTATGACTCTGATAGGTATAATTGCTTTCAAAACAAATCCAAAATCCTCCTTCGTCAAAGGCTTTCATCCCTTCCTGAAGAGCTAAGGTACCTTTGTTGGGAGGGATACCCTTTGAAAACTTTACCCAACAGGTTTTATCCGAGCAACCTAGTTGTACTTGACATGAGACGTAGCCATGTCGAACAACTCTGGCAGGGAAAACAGGTAATTTTGATCAGTACATTTTAATCTTCTGTTGCATGTTGTTGATAAATTGGTCACATTCTGATGCATGCAGGATTTAGTAAATTTGAAGAAAATCACTCTCTTCGGTTCCAAGAAGCTTGTAAGAATCTCGGACCTGTCAAGCGCCACAAATCTTGAAGAAATTGACCTTTCCTACTGTACAAACTTGCTGGAGATTCCTTCATGCTTCCAACATCTTGAGAAGCTAACTCGTTTGAATTTGTGCTGTTGTAAAAATCTCAGTTTTCTGCCTAGCTTGTATAAAGCCACATTCCTCACCCAGCTTGATCTTAGTGGCTGTTCAAAACTCTCTAGATTTCCAGAGGTTTCACCGAATGTAGCAGGGCTATATTTAGGTGGAACACAAATCGAAGGAGTACCTTCATCAATGGGGTTCCTTAGCCAACTCGTTTCGTTGTCTATGAACGAATGTGCAAGGCTGAAGAACTTTCCTACGGACATTTGTAATCTAATATCCCTTCAATTCCTTTCTCTCGGTGGTGTCCCGAATATCACAACATTTCCGGTGGTCTCATTAAATATTCTGGAGTTGAATTTAAGAGGAACTGCGATCGAAGAAGTTCCTTCGTGGATCGAATGCCTGTCTAATCTTCGTGAGATGAAGCTTTGGGGTTGCAGGAGGCTTAAAAGTGTCTCAACAAGTATTCATAAATTGAAATCCCTCGAGTATCTTGATCTAGCGTGTTGCTCAAGATTGGAGACTTTCCCAGAAATCTTAGACACCATGGAGAGGTTGAGAGTTCTTGATTTAAGGGAAACAGCTTTGAAGGAATTACCATCTTCAATGGAGAATCTTATCGGTCTTTCTGAATTGAGCTTGAACAACTGTGAAAACCTTGTTTGCCTTCCGGACAGCCTTTATAAATTGAAATCACTCCAGGGTCTCCATCTTGGGGGCTGCTCAAGATTGGAGAATTTCCCAGAAATCTTGGACACCATGGAGAGTTTGATAACTCTTGATTTAAGTGGAACAGCATTGAAGAAATTACCATCATCAATGGAGAATCTCACTGGTCTTCAGCATTTTAGAATGAACAACTGTGAAAACCTTGTTTGCCTTCCTCACAGCTTCTATAAATTGAAATCTCTTGAGGATTTCTTTCTTGGAGGCTGCTCAAGATTGGAGATTTTCCCAGAAATCTTGGACACTATGGAGAGGTTGATAACTCTTGATTTAAGCGGAACGGCATTGAAGAAATTACCGTCCTCGATGGAGAATCTCATTGGTCTTACTGATTTGAGATTGAACAACTGTGAAAACCTTGTTTACCTTCCAGATAACTTGTTTTCTTCCATTGAAGGAGCTTGTTTTCTTCCATTGGCGATATTGAATTTGTCTGAAACCAATATGGAGAACTTGCCGACGACAATCAAACAACTTCCTGGGTTGTGGAAGTTAATCTTGAGGAAATGCAAGAGGCTGAAATCATTACCAGAGCTTCCACCAAGCTTGGTACATTTAGAAGCACACGACTGCAATTCACTAGAGGATGCCTCAAGCATTAAAAAGCACTTTGAGAAAGTACTGGAAAATGATAATCGTCAGGTCTGGTTCTTCTTCTTCTTCTTCTATATCTTCAATCTGACAAATGATTCGTGTTCTTGAATAACCAATTGTGTTTCTAATCATTGTAATCTAACAGGCATCTTCGTTTACTACATGCATCTCTGGAAGTGAAATCCCAGAATGGTTCGATTTTGAAAGCTCAGGATCTTCGATAAACATCCGGTTGCCTTCAGAGTGGTACGATGATAGCAGGATAAACTTTGCAGGTTTCGCTGTTGCCGCTGCCGTTTCATTCCAATACTGTTCTGAAAACGTATGGTTTCGCATTAGATGTGCATGTCATCTGAAATCCATTAACGGAGACTGTGATGAACTGCCTAGTTTTTTCTCCATTTGGATGAGGCATCAACCACATCAAGACCGGTTGGATCACTTGTTCCTCTGGTATGATGACGATGAAGATCAAGTTAGGCAGTTTGCTGAAACTCGGGCATCAAATGAACTTATCTACAATGAGGCCTCGTTTAAATTCGACGTTGTACTTAACAGGGAGTACAAGCAAGAACCCTTTTGTTGGGAGGTAAAACACTGCGGGGTTTATCAATTATTTGCAGAGGATGAGGCTCTGGTTCATCCGTCTAAAAGAGTCAAGCGTACATAAAAGGGTGGGTTCCTCATCAAATCCCCCGAACATAAAATCTTATATCCGTCATTGCTTGTACCTACTGAAGGGTGTTGCAGAGCCTGCTACATACAAATGACGACAAACCGATAGAGCCTCGTGGGCCAGTCTCCAACCGAAGATCTTTATTTTTGGCAGAGTGTGCAGGCGAGGGGGATGAAGGCATGAAGCCATAAGCCTGATGGATGAGAGACTGATCTGTTGACTTGCTGCAACCAGAAATAGCCTGAGCCTTCTGAGTAAACGCCCTTAGAATGACAACTCCTGCTCAAGGTATCGGAAGGTGTTGAAGAAATCGGACCGTGGGGTATCAGGTATGCATCCGAGGCTGAAAAAACACCACGAACTGAGAGTTAATCCCACTGAGGAACATCCGGATTCATGAAATAGCCACACCAAATAGGAGTAATAGGGTGTCCACATAAGTATCCGAGATATGCAAAGGTGCTGAACCTCCCTAGCGAGCATTGTGAATAGGAACCAGAGAATTGATGCTCGGTTGCCAATGGAAGCCATCTTTTAAATTATTCATGGTGTGAAAGGGACCCCTCCATGCAAATGAAGGACGTGGTCTGAGCCTCGCATCAAAGACATCACCTGAAGGAAAATACTTAGCGGAGAGCACATGATTAACCAAGCTACCCGGGGAACGAATGAAACACCAAATTTGCTTATCGAGGAGTGCAATACTGAACACCTGAATATCCCAGAGACCCAAGCCGCCAACTTGTTTCGGTTGACAAAGGGTAGACCATGCAATGCAACTAGAGGCTAACCTGTAACCACAATCATCTATATTGCCTGACCACCAAAAATCCCGAAGCGAACTAGTAATTTTCAATATGAGACCTAGCATCTCATGACATACCTTGGCCAATCGATTTAAGAAAATTTTCCCGGAATCTAAAAGATGTCATATTCTTGGACCCACAGACCCTTGTGATTGCCCTATCTCGGATGAAAGCTAGCAATGCCGCTTTGTTTGGCCTGATAGGGAGTGGTAGTCCACCCGAAGCATGTTCATATAAGTGGAAGATTTACCGGAGAAGGAATTCTTTTTTGGAATAACGCAAGAAGAGGATGCAAATGCAACGGACACATGCTTCAACAAAAGTGAAAAGTCTAAGAAATTGGAGAAACATAGACATTATTAAAAAAAAAATGATGAGAAATGGAATTGAATCACATTGATATGGCATAATGTGTTGTGCAACGATTAAAAGGTTTTTCTATATATGAGTAACTGATATTGAAAGCATTGAACTCTCTATTCTAATCTAAATCAACTACATTCTCTTGATCTTTTTTCTTCCAAATGTTGAAAATTTACAAAAATGGATAAAAACTCTAAAGGGAGTCATGAATCATCTCGAAAAATTCATTGAACTGAATCTACTCAACGAAAGTGGAAAAATATGACCGGAGGAGAAGCCTAGACAATCATGCTGAAATGCAGAAGGATGAACTTGGAGCAGGAGGCAAGACACAAACCATGTGACATCCAATAGGGCCGCAGCTTATATTTGCTTCATCAAAATCCGGGAGCCAGAGGTGAGGAGGGCGGATGTATCCAGCAGCAAGTGGCATGCACAATACGGAAATAACTACCCTTGAACCTGAGAAAACAAAATGGCAATAACATGCAACAGAAATGAAATATCAATGCTTTCTGCTTAGCTACAACCGAGGAATTCGTACTAAAACGTTAATAGAGATGCAGTTCGTAAACCTTGCAAGCGAAGTATGCCATCTTTTCCTCCCCGCAAGCATCCATTTATCAGAATTCGCAATGATTTCATACAACATCTCGTCCTGTCATAAGTAATAAACATAATTGATAGATGCCGAATAGGAAAAGATGCAGGATAATTGCAGAGTATTCACTAATAGCTTTTCTACTAGTATTCCTTTTTTACGGAAAAGGCCGCATAGTATGGAGAAAGAAGGGATTGCAGATGTTAGGATTGAAGCTCCAAATCCGTTAAATGCAACCTCTTCGGACTGGCTGAATGAACCAACAATACTAAGCACCGGGTGATATGGGACTTCTGCTACAAGTAATATGCCGAAATTTAACTCGATATCTGATGAAATAGGTGCATGCTTATACCTGACTGACTCTGGTCAATATAATTGTTTTAACTTACATCGTTTTGAGGAACTCTTTTCTCCTCGATGCCTTTCAACCGTTCAACCCTCCATTTTATGGTAACAAGTTTGCCAACTTGAAGACAATCGGAAGGAAGAGGTAGAAATCCAACGGCCAAGAACGGGTTAAGGTTAGGCTGCTGCAAAACAAGTGCACTGCTGAATGTTAAATCCCGACCAGTGTCTTTAGTTTCATTTGATTTCGTAGCCACAGGTGGGTGTGCGCCAATGGTCCTGTCGCCAGAAATTCCATATCTTATGTTTAATATGTTTTCTGGTTGTACCTTATCTTCATCTGTAAAAAGGGACTTCTCTGAGAGTTTATCACATATAGAGCTCGTCGAAGATAAGATTATAGAAAATTGCATGACCTTAATGTTGAACATTATATCGTGAATAAACAACAGTCAGATATGTAGAAGCCTACTACAGCCGTATACCCTGATACAATAAAAAGTAAAAAAGGAATGGGTACCTTCAGCACATCTCTTCTTCAAGCATAAACGGAAGAGGAGCCCGGCTTTCGAAGTTGAAGATATGACGAGTGGAAAAGACCCGGAAATTGGTCTTCCATTACCTTGTCCAGCGTGAATAAATCCAGATTGAAGATCAAGGCAAGCATCGCAAACTGATAATGTGGCATTCAATTGTGAGTGCAGTGTTACCTGGAAGTGCCATGAACCTTCATGAACTTCATGCAAAATATGGATAAGTCTAAGGAATTTTATGACAGACAAACGATTGAGAAATGTTGATTTCAACATAAAACATGAATGGTAATATTGAAACAACATCTCTTATTCATCTGCAACACATGCATCTATCTCATCTGATGACCGAAAATAAGCTTCAAAAGTAGATTACAAGAGATATGCTTGCCTTGTTGCAATCTCCAATATATAAGAAAACCTAGAGACGAGGACTTCTAAGTCCTTTTATTTATACGCAATAGTCATTTCATTAAAATGTTAGGGAAGAAGCATGAATACATGAATGTGGTTGAAGCCAAGGACATACAACCTGCAAAAGCAAACTATCATCATTGCATTGATCTACAATTCTCGTGCTCACATGGAAAGGATCACTAAAATGAAAAGCTATGGTTCTGCATGTTAAAGTAGATTACGTAATGAAGTTCAGAGAGAGAGACAGTGAATTCATATTCAAATGTAAAGAATATATATATATATACACATAAATATATATGTATAGAAGGCACTGCCTGTCATATATAGATCTGGTTTTTTGATATTCCAAACTTGAGCTTCAAAGCTATGATCCTCATTCTGTCCAGAATATTTTGTTGGTCATGGCCCCCTGCCACAGCATGAACCGTGACTTAAATGATCTAGCTATCAGATGCAGCAAGCACTCAAAATTCAAACCACCATAACTTTCTAGTCTTTTTTCCTGACCTGAAGATGACCCTCCTGCAAGCTTATCATCTATTGCACGAACAGGAATCCATAAAATCGAGGACACGTCGCTGGTCCATTTGGGAGAATCTATTTTACCATTAACGAGGCATAGCTTCTCAAAGTGTTTATTAGCAGCCGGAGAAAAATCTTTTGCAGCATCACCAGAGTTTGCTGTATCAGCCAAACTCTGAGCAGAATTTCTGTAGCTCTCCATCTCGATGGAATGTGACTCTTCAATCATTAAACCAGGACCAGTTTCAATATACAAGACAGCACCTTTTAAGGAGTACTTTATAGGTTTTGCTATAATTCCGATCCTCTGAGTTTCATTAATCAGTAATGCAGATGATATAGCTGCAGACAGATCAGCTAGAGGTCTTGGTTTGAAAACCTAAAATAAAAACGATTATGACGATTATTGTTAACTTTTCTTAATCCATATCATGTGAGAACAGTACCTCAAATTCATAAGAGCGAAATGGAAGGAGAGAGTACCTTCAAGATAGGCTGGGTTGGCTTCTCATAGCTCATGAAATCATCACTATCTGCAGGACCTCCCTTGGAAAAGCTATGAGATCTAAATGTCAAGTGTCCGATGTGGTCAGTAAGGACTCCCAAGACATAGGAACCAGGCTTCTGTGGTGGTAAAGGAAAGGTGATTTGATTCCTACCAGGCTTTAATACAGTGGCACTCGAGTTCCGTAACTGAAATGAGAATCAAATAAACAAATCATGCATGCCACAACATATCTTACAAACATACTACCATCATCTTGTCTTAGAAACCATACTTTACCACCTTCATCAGCATTATATGTAGCCATCAAAGTGACACCAATAGAATCAAGTGTTATATCATCAGGAAAGCCACTCCAAACGGTCACAGACAAGGTACCAGGATCCCCATCGCATAATGCCATAGGAGGGCCAGGGTTTCCAGAAAATGTAATTAACGATGATACATCAAGAGGAACATGGTGCGTTCACTATGTGCAAGATGAATCAAGTGGGGATTCAAGTAATTTTACGAGTCAAGTGGGGGAGAAAATGATACTACACAGGATTGGTAAGTGCATTCACCTGTTTATTCCATTAGTGGTCTAATTTTTAGTTTATGTGGACCTGATATTTACCAAGATTTGTCTATATGAATCTCAAGTTCAAGCTTGCATTAGAGAGATGTTTATAAGCATAACTCTTTTATGTTAGTTTAATTGGATCTGCTCGTCCCTGCTTCTTGAAGAACATAAGTACCTTTTTATCAGTTTGCCTTTGTCTGCTTAAGTTGCAGTCCTTCTTTCCATACTCGCATGCATTGAAACATGCTAATATACTGAAAATCTGGCATGTTTTATTCTTTGAACTTTGAAGATCAATGTACTCCCCCTGTTTGTTCCGTGTAGTAAGGAGCTGTTGTCGTTGTGCTTTCATGTTAGTAGTAAACCAATAATTTATGTTTGTTTCCGAATGTCGATTCCTGCAATGTCATCTCCTCTTCATTATTTTAATGACTATTTTTTTTCTAAATTCTTGCAGGACGCTAAGGAACCATGCAGATACATGGTCCATTGAAGCATTCATCTGCATTGTCGTTACGCAGCAGAGCTTTCATATGGTCTTTCTTCTTCGTCCTGCACTGCCAGATTCGATGACTAATCATAAATATGCTGGTTCATATAAATTCACCATGAATGTTTTTGATACTTTTTTACTTTATTTTTCAGCTGGTTAATATTTATCTTAAACATGTATAATCGGAAATTTTTAAAATCTTTAATCAGTTCCCAAACTCATTTTCTTAAAATTTATCTTAAACTCCAAGCATCATCGAACATCCGCTGTTGCCAATGACAGTGAGCTCATTATATTTGTATGCTCCGATCCTGATAAGCTTTCGGCGTAAATGATACACAGAGAGCATGAAATCATTGAAGAAAATGGGAGCGGATGAGCTGTTGGTGACAGTACCCTAATAGTCCTACAAGTTTCAACTGGTCAACTTTGATTAAGGGAAAGACGAAGCTTGAAGGTGTCATTGTTGCGAAACTTGAAGGTGTCATTACCTTTAGCTGGTTGGGACTTTAATGCTGTGCTTTACTCTCCCGAAACAAAGCTTCCGAGGACTGGGGAGCTTGCTTCAAGAAGGGCATCCCGGCTAATACAAACATGAAGGCTATTCAGGTTTGAAACTTACTACAGAATTCACACATTTTTTTAATGGAAATTGAAGGCAAGCTTTTAATCTTAGTGAGTGGCAACGCGTCGTTTTAATTGCCAAATAAATGTCTTAATCACATTAAAAATAAAATGGAAATAAGTAAAACAGAGAAAGTAAGGGTCGATCCGCCGGAAATATTGCAATTTCCGATAAATTGGTCTTCCTTTTATGCTAGGCGTGAACTGCAAAGAAAGTAAATAAAAAGGGTGCTATTGTTGATTAGAGAACAATATGAAGTACAAATTAAAAGTAAATAAATTTGAAATAAATTCAATTTGTAAAAATTAGCCTCGGACTTCTATTTTTCTCAATTTCCAAACGATCATTGAATAGGATTTTACTCCAGTTAAATGCCGGTTTGTGTCCGCAAGGTTCAACCCTTGTAGCTCACTCGTCTCTTTCATAATTGATTTTCCCAAATCTATTTTAGAAATCCCAATCCTTGTTTGGATTAATCGCGACTATCATTGTCAATTCAAAACAATTTAAAAACGCTTGAAAAACCGACTCGAATTATGCTTTCTCTATGAAAGTCGAACTCGGTCCCAATCTTCCTTTAGCGTGCAATCGCTAAGTGTGCTCGAGGGAATTTGAATCAATTGATTCTATAATCCCAATGATAAACCATAACAACGTTCAAGCTAAAATATATTTTCGAAATGAAAACGTTTTGATTTAAAGAAAGACTATCCACCAATCTTGCTTTCAGAAAATTGAGAAATTTAGCCCAAGAGGGTATGAGGTGCTTTTCAATTCTCACGTTAGGAATTGAGTTATCGCTTCAGCCTTCGTCTATGAAAAACTTAGCTAAGCATGATAGAAATCATGCTCAACATTTTTCTATAAAAATAAAACTTGAAATATAAAAGAAAGATAAATTAAACATATAAAAACTTTTATAAAAACTAGAGAAAATAAAGAACAAGAATATCTTAGATACGAGAGATGTGTTCAAGCATACAGGGGTATTTATAGTTCTCAAGGTTGAATCCTAACAAATGCAACTAAAGACAAATTCCAAAATTGTTCAAATTAACTCCCAAAATAATGAAAATCCTGAAATTCAAGTCTGAATTGTGCTGAGTGTTGTGTCCACATAGAATTGTCAATTGGACCTTTCAGAAGATGTTGACTCGTCGCCACATCAACAATCATGCCCCAAATCATGTCCGCTAATCAAGCCATGATTCTGAAAAAAAAAGCTACAAAATTTTTTTAACTTAGTTTCCGGAATTCAATGTTCTGCATGAAAAATAAGAGAGAACACTCAACTTAGCAACATAAATCGACGAATCAAGGAGTAATTAATAATAAAATGATAAAAAAAATTAAGCACTCATCAGTAAGCAACCCGAGGGGATCTGTTATTATCACAAAGTAAAGAATTCTGAAGGAAATCCGGAGGTGGACCAAGGATAGACCGAGCATCAACTTGATCGAGGGATAACTTTGCAAGAGCATATGCTGCAGAGTTGGCTTCACAGTGAACGAGTTTATAATCAACAAGCCATGCCCGATCGTGGAGGGAAACAATTTCTCTCACAAGAGGTAAAGGGCTAGAGCGTGAGCTTGAAGAGGAGACCATGTTGTATACTTCAACGTTATCAATCTGGCACTGAACCTTCTCAAAACCTTGCGACCAAGCTAATTTGAGACCGTCATATAATCCCCAAAGCACAGCTTGAATGATAGTTACATATCCGAGGGGTTTCCAAAAACCACCTAGCCAGCTACCAAGAGAATCTATGAGGACACCACCTGCTGAACCTAGGGAGGAGGAAGTGGAAACAACACCATCCGAGTTGAGGGCAATCCAACCAGGGGTAAGGGCATGCCAGACACGATCATTTATAGACGAGTACGTGGAATTGTCATTGCTGGAGTTGGGTTCTCATAAAGTCAAGCCTAGTGAAGACTCAAACTAAACAAATTATTGTTTGAAAGATTAGTTTCGAAGAAGATATTACTGTTGCGCCTCTTCCAAATCTGCCAAGTTAGCGTTGAAAAAAACTTGTTCCATGGAACACTAGAGCCTCAGAGAAGATTGTTAGAGCGTAAGTTTACTAAAATCCATTCAGCAAGAGAGAGTTTAAAGAAGTCAATACACTGCTAAGGTTCGATTAAAGAAGACCACATCAGCTTAATATTCAGGAAATCCCTTAGGATATGAATAGACGTCTCATCCATTGAACTGTATATGGGGGCATGAGGCATCATCGAATATGTTGATTAACGTTGGAAAGGGGTTTATCGCGCAAATAAAGCCAAAGAAAGCACCGTATACGCTCAGGTACACCAATTTTCCAAGGAATAAGCCAGTCTTTGTTTTGGGGATCCAAAAAAATTTTGCATTAAAGCCTTGTAGGCACTTTTAGTAGAAAACAAACCTTTGCTTGAAGCTACCCAGGCACACCTGTCTTCTCCGGTCATGGGGAGGGGATAAGATCGAATGGAGATGACCCAGAGCATATGGTTGAAGGAGTTGACTTAAAAGGGACCAATTCCAATTGCCTTAAGGGAGGGATACGTCCCTAACAAGCAGATTTGGATCGAAAGGAGCATTGCCAAGCTTCCATTGAGAGATGGGACCAAGTCGAGGAATCCAGCAGTCGGACCAAAAAAGGATTCGAGCTCCATCACCAATAGTCCAAAAGATAAATGATCGAAAAGAAGTCCATATATTGGATAATGAGAACAAAAAAGTAGAGCAAATTGGGCGCTTGATAGAGAGGGGGCACTGCTTGTTGGTTCGATACTTTCTCCTGAGGATATATATCCAAAAGGCATCCCTATCATTGATAAGTGTTGGTTTTTGACAAATATCCCACATTGGTTTTGTATAAGGAGGAGGGGAAATTCTTTTATTATAAATAGAGCCCTCCTCCTCCTTAGTTTAGCATCCCACAAATATAAGCATTCTTCTATATTAAAGGCTATTTGTATTCTTTCTTTCTCTTTGTAATATTTCCTCTACTAGTGAAATATTATTTTAGTAGTGTTCGAGGAGGTAAGCATAATTTTGGCTTAACCTCGTTAAATTTTAGTGTTCTCTTTATGTCTATTTAATATCTATTATCGGGTATAGTTGTTGTTAATTATTGTCCTATTAAAATTACTTGTCTTGGTAGTTATGTCTAAGGAAAGTGGGTTTTAAGAGGGACCATTGTGACCCCTCCTATTTCCTGGGAATCTACCTTGGTGTGATTTTTAGTACAATCATTTTCACACTAGTCACCTAGATAATAGTTTCAAGGTGAATTTGTTATTATTGGTGGAAATTAACCCGAATTCCACAACAATTGGTATCAGAGCTCTTGGTTTATTTTAGTATGTTCTGTGGTTGCGGCTTAGGCTGATCTTCCACATCAGAAAAAAAATTCCTTGGGATAATTGGCATTCCGCATTGATAACTATTAAATAGAATTTGTAGCAGAAATGACAGACGCAACAAAAAATCCACATCGTCGTCAACAGCTGTGACAAATGTTAGATTTGCAGTGGAGATTTTTTATGGCACCGGTCATTTTTGCATGTGGTAAAGTGAGGTTCTAGATACCCTATTTCAGCAGGGTCTAGACATTGCTATTGAAGGAGAGAAACCAGATGATGTTGAGGAGAAAGAATGGAAGATGATAAATAGATTGGCATGTGGTACTATTCAATCGTGTCTTTCTAGAGAGCAGAAGTATGCATTTTCTAAGGAAACTTCTGCAAGTAAATTGTGGAAGGCACTGGAGGAGAAATTTTTGAAGAAAAGCGGTCAGAACAAGCTCTACATGAAAAAGAGATTGTTCCGCTTCAACTATGTACCAGGTACCACTATGAATGATCACATTACTAGCTTTAATCAGTTGGTGAATGATCTGATGAATATGGATGTGACTTTTGAAGACGAAGATCTAGCTCTGATGTTGATGGGATCACTTCCTGATGAGTTTGAGTATCTTGAAACTACTCTACTTCATGGGAAAGTTGATGTGTCTCTCAGTAAAGTAACTGATGCCTTGTATAGTTATGAATTGAGAAAGAAAGACAAACAAGAAAACACAAGTTTCGAAGCAGAAGCTCTTTTTGTTAGAGGCCGTTCGAAGAGTCAGAATAAAGGAAGGAGAGGGAGATCGAAGTCAAAGTCCAGATTGAGCAAAGATGAATGTGCCTTTTGTCGAGAAAAAGGGCACTGGAAGAAAGAATGTCCTAGGCTAAAGAACAAAGGCAAACCTGAAAGGGGAAAGGTTGTCTTAGAATCAAATGTGGTCGAGTATGATGATGTAGATTCAGATTTCGCATTCGCTGCTACGCCATCAACCAGTTGTTCCAGTTCATGGCTGTTAGATTCAGCTTGTAGCCACCGTATGACCCCCAATAGAGAATGGTTCTTTGATTTTAAAGAACTAAAAGGTAGAATTGTCTACACAACAAATAATTCCCCTCTTGACACATTTGGGATTGGTTCAATTCGCTTGAGGAATCAAGATGAATCAATCAGAACCTTAACAGGTGTCCATTATGTACCAGATTTAATGAGAAATTTCATCTCTGTGGGAACCTTAGAGTCAAAAGGTTTAGAAGTGAGGGCAAAAGATGGGATTATGAGGATTATCTCTGGTGCACTGGTGATAATGAAGGGAATCCGGAAAAGAAACAATGTGTATTACTTTCTGGGTAGTACAATTGTTGGGACAGCAGCAGTGGCAGCTTCTACTGATGAACAGGAGTCAGAAGCAACCAGGTTATGGCATATGCGCTTGGGGCATGTTGGTGAAAAATCCTTGAAATTGCTGATAGATCAAGGATTATTGAAGGGTGCTCGGGCTTGCAAATTAGCTTTTTGTGAGCATTGCATCAAAGGGAAGAAGACGAGGGTGAAATTTAGAACATCAATCCATGATACTAAAGGTATTTTGGATTATGTTCATTCAGATGTATGGGGGTCTTCCAAGACAACTTCATTGGGAGGAACACACTATTATGTCACCTTTGTTGATGATTTTTCTCGAAGAGTTTGGGTGTATACAATGAAGACAAAGGATGAGGTGCTAGGATTTTTCCTTAAATAGAAAAAGATAGTGGAGACTCAAACAAGCAGAAAAATCAAACGTCTCCGTACAGACAATGGTGGAGAGTACAAAAATGATCCATTTATGAAAGTCTGTGAAGAAGAAGGTATTGTCAGGCATTTCACTGTTAGAAGTACACCACAACAGAATGGGGTGGCAAAGTGTATGAACCGAACATTAGTGGAGAAGGTTCGGTGTATGTTGTCTAATGCTGGGTTAGGCAAAGAATTTTGGGCTGAGGCTTTGGTCTATGCTTGTCACCTTGTCAAGCGCTTACCATCGACTGCTATTGGTGGTAAAACACCATTAGAGAAATGGTTTGGAGTACCTGCTACAGATTATGATTCCTTACATGTATTTGGTTCCACTGCATACTACCATGTTAAGGAGTCAAAGCTGGATCCAAGAGCAAAGAAGGCGATCTTTATGGGGATCACCTCTGGTGTGAAAGGCTATCGTCTTTGGTGTCCAGAAACAAAGAAAATAATCTTTAGCAGGGATCTACCATGTTGAGAAAGGTGACTTCAGAAAAATTGGAGTAGACAGATGGAACTCCAAAACAGGTGGAGTTTGAAGGAAGCAGAATTGACCCAACCAGTAAAGAAACTGATGTTGACTCTCCTATGGTAGAAGAAGAGTCAGATGAAGAAGAGGTTCAGACCCTAGAACCTCCACAGCAACATGAATCAATTGCACTCAGAAAGGGAAAGAGGAACATTAGACAACCTGCTCGTTATGCTGATATGGTCTCTTTTGCATCACCAATTGCAATTGATGACGTTCCTGTCACTTTTAATGAAGCAGTACAAAGTTCAGAATATAAAAAATGGAGGATCGCCATGAATGAAGAAATGCAATCCCTTCAAAAGAATCAGACGTGGAAACTAGCTAGTCTTCCGAAGGAAAAGAAGGCAATTGGGTGCAAATGGGTATATGCAAAGAAAGATGGATTTATTGACAAGAATAACATCCGCTACAAAGCAAGATTGGCGGCTAAAGGCTACGCTCAAACGGAGGGAGTTTATTATAATGAAGTATTTTCTCCAGTTGTAAAACATTCCTCCATCAGAATTTTGTTGGCTTTGGTAGCATAGTTGGATTTGGAACTAGTTCAGATGGATGTAAAAACTGCATTTTTACATGGAGACTTGGATGAGAAAATCTACATGACTCAGCCAGATGGATTCAAAGTTGCTGAAAAAGAAGAGATGGTGTGCAAATTAGAAAAATCGCTATACGGATTGAAGCAATCTCCAAGGCAGTGGTACAAGCGATTTGACAAGTTTATGATAGGGCAGAAGTACACAAGAAGCAAATATGATCATTGTGTGTATTTACGCAAGCTACAAGACGGATCCTATATATATCTTCTTCTTTATGTTGATGATATGCTGATAGCTTCCAGGAGTCAGACAGAAATTGTGAAACTAAAGACTCAATTGAACAGGGAGTTTGAGATGAAGGATCTTGGTGAAGCAA